TTTATTTCACATTGAAAACAGTGCTGACATTAATACATACCTTTAAATCTGTTAATATCCCTGCCCCTCCTTTGTTTTGCTACTGCAGTTTACACTACAAGATTCATTCGGCACATTAGAGACAAAAGAAAAAAATTAAAATAAAATAAATTACTGCACCTGTAACTGAAGACAAAATGTTATCTTAGGTTAACAAATCTTTACTGCAGCTTTCCCTTTGAGCCATGTTATTTCAAACATGGACTTTAATTATACTGTACATCTACTACTTGGTGCAAGGGCAGGAAAAAGAAGAATAAAAATCAAGCTGAACAGGCAAATAGTAGATATCTGCACATTTCCATTTGTTTAACAAATAGAAATAAAGCTACATCTCATTCCAATTCAAAATTGAAATCTTAACTCAAAAAAAAAGAAATTCGATGTTTGGAGGCTTACACAGGTGTGATATGGGTTTAACAGCTCCTTTTAGCAAGATATTATATTTTCTTTTACATGGGGGCTCCTTATACAACAGGGCAAGATAAAGTCTAAACAGTTATATTACAAACCAATTGGTGCAACAAATGAAAAAGGTTTGAAAGCTCAATCATCCAGGTAGATAAATCACAAAAAAGGACTAAATCATGTGATCTGGACATGATTGTAAAGCCAGTTGCAGGGAATTCCACAGAGGGCTGGCTTGAAATGCGTCATTGAGGTGCTATTTACATGACAGATCTGGGTTGGCAGGCCTCAGACTGATGAAGTCTTTTGGATGAAAGACGAAACGTTTCTTCCAAAACAAAACTTCCTGGATTACATGATTTAACCCTTTTTTGTGGTGAAACAAATGGTTAAAACAAAGTCTTAGAAACAAGTGCTGCCAGCCTACTGTGATGTCTGATGTCATCAGCTGTGGTTTGTTGTCTGGTTCAACACTTTACAATCAGTTTATTTCATTAAATGTATTGAAAACAGCGTGGTGTCATGTTTACGTTTACTGAAGTGTGGAGATGAACATGAGAACAAAAGTCATTTATGAGCTGCAAGTAGTCAATAGGTTGCTGACTAGCAAAGCAGTTAGCAGTTTTAGTTATTATTAATCCTAAAGTCGAGTGTATGGTTATCTCCACCAGATCAACATGACAGATCACTCTCACTGTCAAAGCCTAAGGTGGCAGTACTAATTTCTGACATTTTTCACTTTTCCAACACAGAATGGTATCAGGCTTGACAAGCTTATATTTAGATTATACTTCCAGCTCAATGTAACAACCCTGTTGTGTCTTTCAAAAATAAACCAATTAAGGGAGTTTGACAATTTCAATGGATTAAAACTTAACTAGTTTCTGAGTGAAACCTGATGGAAAGCTCCACTGTGCGTTTCTGTATTACTTATCACTGTGGTTGTGTAATGTGACTTTTTAAAACATTGGGTTGCTACAAAGAGCTGACTAATGGAATGAAGATTTTAATAGTTAAATAGAAAATTCAAAGCACAGATAAAATCGTTTTTCTCTTTTTTTTTGGTCTGGTTTGCTTCAAAGTATAGGGTTAGGGTTAGGTTTAGGGTAATTTTGCAAAGAAGCAGGGTTAGGTGCTGCAGATGTGAGTATGCTTCCTGCAGTAGCGGCTCTCAGATTTGAGGAGATTCCTGAAACTTGTATTCAGATATATTCATCCTGATGCATATTCAATAATCCAGGTAGAAAACTCTAACAAAGTAAAATCAGGTCCTCTGGACGGATTCTTCTTGAAACGTTTCATCTTTTATTCAAAAGACTTTTTCAATCAGAGGAGCAGTAAGAAATTCAGTCTTATAAATAGCGCTTTGCCATAGTGGATCAACCAGTTTGATGTTAACATAATGAACTAGCTGTTCACATGATAAAGGAGGACCATCAGCCTAATGACCAATTGTTAGTGCCCTGATGGCCTCTTGCTATTCACAGAGGGCTGGGTGATACTAGCAATAACAGCATTGTAAGAAGGGGACAGTTGGATAGAGGCCTCTGCTCCTGTTTAATGATAGACAGGCTCTCTTCACAAAGATGGTCTCCTTCACTCTTCTCTCAAAGGAGTGAAGGAGCCCTTCACCCAGCCCTCTGTGAATAGCAAGTGGCCATCAGGGCAATAATGACCAATTAGGCTGATGGGTCCTTCTTTATCATGTCAACAGCTAGATTTCTGTTTGTCAACAACAAACTGGTTGATCCACTATGAGAAGGTGTTATTTATTATACTGAGTTTGTTGCAACTCCTCAGACTGAAGAAGTATTTTGGATAAAAGATGAAAGGTTTCAACAACAATAAGTCTCAGTCGGGCCATCTGTCCAGATGACCCGACTGAGACTTATTGGATTTGGTACCTGGATATCCTGATGCATGCTCAATAATCCAGGTAGAAACATCTAAGAAAGTTAAATCTGGTCCTCTGGACATTAAAAAAAAATGTAGAAAGAGTCCTAAAGACTTCCTCAGTCTGAGGTGCTGTATTCAGCTCAGTCTCTTAAATAGCACCTTCTCAGAGTAGATCAACCAGTTTGCTGCTGACAACCAAAACCAGATGCTCACATGCTCAAGAAGGACCATCAGCCTAACAATGGATCATTAGCACACTGATGGCTGTTTACTATTCACAGAGGGCTGAGTGATACTAGCAATCACAGCATTGTAAGAGGGGGACAGTTGAACCCAGAGGCCTCCACCCCTGTTTAATGATGGACGATTTCTTTTCACAAAGATGGCCTCCTTTACTCCTCTCTCAAACCATCGTTCCTCTCTGTCCAGGATGTGCACATCTTCATCCCTGAATGAGTGACCACTGACCTGGAGATGAGTGTAGACCGCAGAGTTCTGGCCTGATGATGTTGATCTTCTGTGCTGGGCCATCCTTTTGGCCAGTGGCTGTTTAGTTTCCCCGATGTAAGACTGATCACCCTCCTGACACTGAAAGGCATACACAATATTACTCTGTTAGTGCCGGCGGACTGGATCTTTGGGATGAACCAGTCTTTGCCATAATGTTTATTTAATTTTTAAAAGCCACTGGGACGTTATGTTTAGAAACGGAGACGTTTATTTTCTAAACATAACGTCCCAGTGGCTTTTAAACCCCAAAGTACATTCCGGCAAAGACTGGTTCATCCCAAAGATCCAGTCCGCCGGCACAAACAGAGTAATATTGTGTATGCCGTTCAGTGTCAGGAGGGTGATCAGTCTTACATCGGGGAAACTAAACAGCCACTGGCCAAAAGGATGGCCCAGCACAGAAGATCAACATCATCAGGCCCGGACTATGTGGTCTACACTCATCTCCAGGCCAGAGTTCACTCTTTCAGGGATGAAGATGTTCACATCCTGGACAGAGAGGAACGATGGTTTGAGAGAGGAGTAAAGGAGGCCATCTTTGTGAAAAGAAATCGTCCATCATTAAACAGGGTTGGAGCCTCCAGGTTCAACTGTCCCCCTCTTACAATGCTGTGATTGCTAGTATCACTCAGCCCTCTGTGAATAGTAAACAGCCATCAGGTGCTAATGATCCATCGTTAGGCTGATGGTTCTTCTTGACCATGTGAGCATCTGGTTTTGGTTGTCAGCAGCAAACTGGTTGATCTACTCTGAGAAGGTGCTATTTAAGAGACTGAACTGAATACAGCACCTCAGACTGAAGAAGTATTTCAGATGAAAGACAAAACGTTTCTACAATTTTTTTTTTTTTTTAATTTCCAGAGGACCAGATTTAACTTTTTTAGATTAGTACCTGTATGTATGAGCATGAACTTTGTTAACATTTCAACAAGATTTTTTTTATTTTCTTGTTATCCATTCAGAGAACTTGACTTACATTTGTTTGATTCAGATAAATTGTTTTAGAAAAATAAACCTAATAAAAGATAATAATAAAAAAAGATAATAAATTAATAACTATAAACATAAACCTAACATTATTCTTTAGGTGTCTTTTTTTTTTAAACGGTGGCATATTCCCTAAACAAAACCAGTGCATATATAACCTACACACATTGAACACATAACCAAATGGTTGCACAGTTTCTGTGATAATACCTGAAGGATTTGGGTGTTCTGGAAGGGGAAGCAGTGTGTTCCTGTTTTTTTTTTTTTTGGGGGGGGGGGGGGGGGGGGGGGATCTTTCTGAAATGTGTGTGTTCTACACTCAAGCAATAACTTGTTTTTTCAATTCAATTCAATTCAATTCAATTCACAAATACTTTATTAATCCCAGAGAGAAATTATATGTTGGGTATCTCATCATCCTAGTTTCATTAATGAGTTGTTATAGATGCTGATGGCTGTGGGCAGGAAGGATCTCTTGTAGCAGTCTGTCCTACAACGGATTTGAAGAAGCCTCTGACTGAAGACACTTTGTTGTTGATGACAGTCTGATGAAGAGGATGCTGAGGGTTGTCTATAATGTTCTTCATTTCACTTCATTTCATTTATTAACACTGTTTCAGATAGTTAGGCTACAGATGGTCAACAGACTGCAGGATGTGATTAGATAGCATATGATTTTACCCCCAAAACACATGTTGGCAAATCATGTACTAAAAAGTTTCTTACAGTACCCAATATTTTAAATGACAATATCAAGATGGCCTGTAGCACCAAATGACACCTGCTGAACCATGTATCCAGTTAATATTTTAATCTGTATATTCACACCTGGAGCATATCTGCAAATTCAATTCATGACTTGGTCACATTGGCATACATTCAGATATCTGCTAATATGCAAATATATATAACATGATGAAAATATTAGATAAACTGGTACAGTGGGAGAGGGGGGTTGTTTCAATGGGCTCAACAAAACGCACCACTTTAGTAGTTTCAAAGAAGGGGTTCATCATAGCCAGGGCAAATATGTTCACTCATACATACTTGTGATCTGTAATATTAAGTGCTGTGGCATCTTTAAAGATGGAGAACGCTGTTCACCTGCAGCAATCGAAAGCCTGTGATGACTCTTCACAGGGATCGGATCAACTGGTGCAGTCTGCTCAGAGCAGTAAGCTGACAAAAGGGAATAGGTGTAGTGCTAAGCTAATGCAAGGCCTGTAGCAGTCACTGAAGGACACAGTACTTCTTATAGTCTGACTCAAAGTCTTCATCCATGCTACTGGTGTCTGCCATCTTCTTGCCATCAATCTTTGGCAGGAATTGGGAGTATTCAACTCCCTGCTGCTCATAAAACAGAATGTAGGCAGAGTCTGCATCGATCTCCTTAGAATGCACTTCCTGTTGAAACAAAACAAACAAAAACAGTAGTACCATATACAACGTATAATAAGCCCACTGACAAACTATATTTTACAGCAATTTATACATCTTATTCCTGGGGGCTCTACTGTATAAATGACTCTGTGTACAACTTCCTGTCAGACAGGAAGTAGCAGTAAGCATTGGTTAACCATGGTAGCGGCGCATGGACCATGGTTTATTTGAAAGTAATGTGCATTCAGTTTAGAAGTTAAAAGTCTGTTTTTTGTTAACATTTATTTAACAACCATAAAGTTTACTAAAATAGCTGTGCTGAGTTCAGGTACCTGTTGTGTTCGCGGCTGCAGAACAACCAGATCAAACTAAATCAGTGGCTACAACAACAGAGTTTGAACACAGACCCAAAACCTAAAGAGTGATCCTGTGAAAAGTGGTATAGTTTCCATCTCCTACCGACAGATGAGGAATTAAGAAGAATGTGGCTGAAAAATGTGACTTTGAAGAGACCACCCAAAACAATGTATGTGTGCTCATTTCATTTTGTTGACAAATGGCCGACGGAGGAAATCCTGCATCCTACTTTGTGGCTGGACTACAATAAACAACCAGAGACGACGCCAGATCCTAAGGATTGAAAACAGTGTGACAAGAATATCAGGTATGATTTCAAGTGTATGGAGGGCTCAGCATTATAGTATTTATTAGTCTTGAGAATTAAGATTTTCTTTGCAATTAAACCAAGTTGGGTGATGGAGGACTTGAAGGCTTTGGCTGTGCTCTATATCTGCTTTAAAGTAATAAATAAGACTGTCAGCTAAGTTCATGTGCTTGCCACTGCTCCAGCTCAAAATATGACGTAAAGGAAGTTATTTTTCTTCTTTGTTGCTTTATAGCGGATTGCATTCACTCTGTTGCACTTGCGCCTCCTTGAGACTGAACCCCACACCTACATGCAAGGTGACTTGACAGGCTGCTGAGGAAAGCTGGTTCTATGCTAGGAACAGAGCTAGAGTCTCTTATTTAATTAACCTTTATTTATTAACCTTTGTTTAACCAGACAAATCCCAATGAGATCACAGATCTCTTTTGAAAGAGAGGCATGGGCCTGAAGGCAGCCTAACATCATGTTTTTGGTCTGTGGGAGGAAACCGGAGTACCTGGAGAAAATACATGCAAGCACGAGAAGAACATGCAAACTCGACACAGAAAGACCCCAGGTCCAACCAGGGATTGAACCCAGGACCGTCTTGCTGAGAGGCAACAGTGCTAACCACTGAGCCTTTGTGCTGCCTCTTACATCAGTGGCAGAGAAAAAGGCCCTCACTAAGCTACTACCCATCATGGACAATGCTGACCATCCTCTGCATGACACAAACAAAGCAGAGAAGCTCCTTCAGCAGTAAACGGCTGTCCCAGCCCTGCTCCATGGAAAGATTCAAGAAGTTCTTTGTCCCTCAAGCCATCAGATTGTTCAATTCCTCCCCATACAGTAAAAATAGAGCCTTGTAAATCTGCAGTATCCCGGACACTTGTGTATGTATATGCACACACACACACACACACACACACACACACACACACACACACACACACACACACA